CTTACCCATTGTCTAACTTGTTTCTTCAAACCATGCCACACGAACTTCTGGGACACAAGTCGTGCTGTAGCTCTTGCCCCTGAATGTGAAAGGCTTTGTATGATGTCAAAAACTTGACGTCGGAAGTCTGGCGGCACCACTGGGCGTGGTTTCCCTGTGGAGATGTCACACAACAGTTGAGGACAGGTTGGTTCTACAGCTGTATAAACCAGACGGAGATTTGCGATCGCTGTGCGATAGGCCTGAACTTCCTCACTTGCGGCCTGAGAAGTTGCCATTGCCGAGTAGTCTACGCCTACCGACACATTAGAGATAGAGCGTGAAAGGCAGTCAGCGGTGACATTGTCTTTACCCAAAATATGCCTGAGGTCTGTTGTGAACTGAGAGATGAAGGACAGTTGCCTCTGTTGTCGACCAGACCAGGGTTCTGTGACTTTTGACATCGAGAAAGTCAGGGGCTTGTGGTCAGTGAAGACACAGAATAATTGACCCTCAAGCAGGAACCGGAAATGACGAATGGAGAGATAGATATGCTGAGCAGTTCTCTGTCAAAAGCGCTGTACTTCTTCTCTGCAGGACGTAAGCGTCGACTGAAGAAAGCTAAGGGTTGCCACGACCCATCCACAAATTGTTCAAAAACCGCGCCAACGGCTTGTTCCGATGCATCACATGAGAGTGCGATGGGCACGTCGGTGTTCGGGTGGGCAAGCATGGCTGCCTCTGCCAGTGCTGCCTTGCTAGTCTGGAAGGCAGTGCCCATTTCTTCCGACCACTGGACCTGAGTGGACTTTGAAAAGTTCTTTAAAGCATCGTACAGGGGGCGTTGGACCTCTGCTGCATGGGGAATAAACCGATGATAGAAGTTTACCATCCCTAAGTACTCTTGTAACCCTTTCACTGTTTGAGGAGGGGGAAAATCCTCAATTGCTTTAATCTTGGAGGGGAGAGGTGTAGATCCTAATGGAGTGATGTGATGCCCTAAGAAGTCAATCTCCAGGACTCAAAAAACACATTTCTCCAGTCTTACCACAAGACCAGCCTCACGCAATCTTTCACAAACAGCGTGAAGATCTTTCAAATGTTGGGCCTCTGAGTCGCTAGCGACAAGGATGTCGTCTATGTAGCTGAAAGCACATTTGAGATCTTGGAGCAAAGAGTCCATCAAGCGCTGAAATGCTTGTGCAGCATTCTTGAGACCAAAAGGCATGCGCAGAAATTCGTACAGGCCGAATGGAGTGATGATTGCTGTTTTTCGATGTCCTCTGGGGCCATGGGTATCTGATGGTATCCCCGCATGAGGTCAATCTTGGAGAAGATAGTTTTCCCTTTCAGCCCAGCCGAGAAATCCTGGATGTGAGGAATGGGGTATCGGTCTGCTATCGTCCTGTCGTTGAGGCGACGAAAATCCCCGCATGGTCTCCACTCTCCACTATTTTTAGGGACCATGTGCAAAGGAGATGCCCACGG